GGGACAAACCTCAAGAGTCATGCTGGAGATTCTAGGAGCTGCTCCAGGGTGAATACCTGAAGAGGCTGCTGATCCTTTAATTAAGGGTGCAAATCCCTGAGGAGAGACTGAGAAGGGGGGCAGGAAGCAGGAAGGTATGCTACAAAGCTGTGAGAATAGTTCAAGGAACAAACCGTGTTCCCACAGCCATGTCGGCCAGACAGAGCCAGGGAGGAACAGGGACAGGGCTGTGGTCACTGAGGGCCAGACAGTGGGACTGTCATTTTTCTCAGATGACCCAGGCCACGTTCCTCCTCAGCTCAAAGTCCCACAGTGGAAGCTGGGGCTGGGGCTCAGGGGACGAGCACTTGCCTAGCACAAGTGAGGCACTGGGCTCCACCCTCAGCACCACATAAAAATAAACCAACAAAATAAAGGCATGCTGTCCATCCACCATTATAAAAAGATTAAAAAGAGAAACAAACCTACAGTGGATCTCACCTCCCTCAAAGTGGAAGCCACAGTCCTTACAGTGGGCAGCAGGGCCTAGTGACATCTATGGCTCAGGCTGGCACAGGCTTTGGGCCCTCACGTTTGCATCCCCAAGCTCACTCTCCCCACCTGTGAGGGCCATTGCTCGGGTCACTCCCCTGCCCAGGTGATGGCATGGTGCACACTCTGAGTTAATCAAACATCTGTTAAAATACCACTGTTGGGGGCCTCCTCTGGCCAGACCACTATGAATTCAATCTCCTGTGAGTAGTCCCAAAATTTCTCCTGAATACAAATCATGTATCGTCATACTACCTGTCTCCCACTACAGCTCCTTGAGGCAGGGATTGTGGTCTAGTCCCCTCATGGCCATATCCCCTGCTTCTACAGCAGCAGCCGGGATATAGCAGCATTGGGCACTTACTGAATGAATTACCAGGAAAACCCATGACTGACTGACCAATGGGTCTGATGGGGATTCTATTTATTGGGGTAGGAAAGATGAGAGGGTGGGAGGGTTTTCACAGAGAAGGTTATGAGTTCAGTTGGGGATATCACTGGGAGAGTCACCTTGCCCAGTATAAATACTATCAAATTACAAACATGGCACTTTAGGGAAATCGAAACTGTTAGTGAAATCATCACTTCTGCCAAAAAAGGCAATAGCCAACTCCTCCCTAAGGGAACATTCAGAATTAAGAGTTTCTGTCCTTGGTAGGGCAACGCCCTGTTTTCCCACAGGTCCATCTGATACATCATGTGTCCTAGCAGAAGACTGGCAAATAGCCATCAGGGCCTGAGGCAGTTTACCCACATTGTCATCTAGCAGGGATTAAATCATCTGCCCTGGAAGAGAAAGGCCCATGGAAAATAAGGTGGGTTATACTGCAGAGAAAATATAACTCAGGTGCCAGTTGACTCCTGCTACCTGAATGTATTTCATTTTGTGACTTGAAAAACTCTGAAATCCTGATCAATTGTGGATAGTGTTTTGCAGCCCCAGTAGGGAACCAGTTTTCATAAGTCTATCTTTCTCAAACTTCGCCATGCATCAGAAACACCTGGAAGGAAGCCGTGTCATAAACAGATTGCTGGGCTCCAAACACAAGTTTCTTATTCACTAGGTCTTGGTGAGTCCCTCAAACTTGCATTTCTAACAGGTTCCCAGGTGGTGACCATGCCGCCAGCCCAGGGACCACACTTGGAGAATCACCGGGAAGTCAAGAAACTCCCGTGGTGGCTCCTGACCTGCTTGATCACCCCAGCTGTGCTCTTGGCTGACTCCACCCTGAAGCTGGATGAACTGCTGCATACGGAACCACCGACCCTTGTGCAATTAATTCATAGCACTTTTAAAACTTCCTCTTTTTAATGTGATTTCATTCTGACACAATGTAATCTGTCAATCACCTTTTGGCGGCTGCTGCTGCTGCTGTGTTCAAGAGTAAGTGAGGGTGTAAGTTGGCCTGATGGGACGTGCTGTGCCTTGGGGACTCAAGCACTGTATTGCGCTTCCTCCACAAAAGGGTTTGTTTTCTCCCCAAGGTAACACTTGCCTCATATTGAACTCTTGGTCTTCTGTGACCTGTCACTAAAGTCACAGACCCTTCAACTGTTCATTGACAATACTTTCCAAACAATCAAGCACTTGGGCTGATAAAATGGTTCCGGTTTCCCCCTGGAGACCCTAGTCCATCTTCCTGCCCAACAGTCTGACAGGCGATTTTCTGCACAATTGCTATCCCAGAACTCCCCAGGTCACGTTCCATGCCGGGTCCACTGTTCCCTGGTACCATATCTTCCTGGCTCTTGATTACTCTTGCTCTGTGGAACTCACCCTGGCCACTCATAAGAAAGGAGAAGACGAGGTGACATTGGAAGCCAGTGCACGTGAGAGAAGCCAGTGTTCTTAATGAGCTGGGCACAAAATTTAGATAGACATTGATTTTTTACTTCAATTTTTGAGGGCTCTGCACTGTATTCTAGCTGGTAAGGTTGCTAGTGGGTACCCATTCTTGTGGGTACCATTTTGGTTTTCCTTTTCCTTTTGGTTTTCCAACTCCCTGGATTTTATTTTTTAATTTCAGGGCTTTATTCTGCAGTGGAGGAAACATTTGTTTGCCCACCCCACATATAACTATTAAGTCTCAGAGCCCAGCGATGCCCCTCTTGTGGGCTTCTGAAGACAAACCAGAAAGTTCTGAGGTCCTTCCCTTTGTCACACCCATATCATGACTTACAGAACTCACTTTTGTACTCGTGGCAGACATTATACTAGAACTTATCATTAAACTAACTGTTCTACTTTTTTTTCTCTTAACTTTCTTTGCTCAATAGTCTCCCTGTCCCAGTGACTTCTGCTTTTTATGTTTTTTGTGCACACTGAGTCCTTATTCTTCCTTGGGTTCCTGTACATCTTTTGGCACCTTGAGTTACTTTGCTCAGATGGATCCTCTCTTTCAACAGGTATTCTGACCTTCTGCATGAGGTGCCTCGATGAGGGATCTTTTCTCACGGCTGGGCACTGAGTGACCATTTCAGTTAAGGAACTCATACATTTCACCCTGAGAAAAACTTTATATTGTTCATTTGGTAATTTTTCCCTATATCTCAGTAGAAACTCCCTTGGAATGGGAACAGACAGATGAGGATGGTGGGGACACAGGTTAAGGGAATAATTCTATCAACTGGGCCCACTGTGCCGACCCCCACATGCTTTCTTTTCCAAGAAGCAATTTACCTGCAGCCCCGCCTGGCCTAATTGGACAGGAGATGTCACATTCCTCAGCAAACTACCTGTTATCAGTAAAAGAAATGCAAGCCTGAAAAAATGTTGATAAGAGGAACCCAAGTTACCCTGAACAGGTAGACTTCTGTGTGCTTTTTCACAGTCTAGATCTCGGAATTCAGAGAGGTAACAATAATTCCTCCTAATCATAAAAATCTATAAGAATTCCAAAGTGACCTCGAGCTGTCATGGTAATGGAGACTTGAAAGTCAGATGTCATCCTGCTGTTGGGCAAAAGTCAAGAGGTGATCTGGACAGAACTCTCTGGAAATTTCTCTGGGACCCCAATAAAACTGAAATGTAGGAGGGGCTCCTGTCTGACAGAACCCACTTTCTCCCTTGAGATTGTCCCCTTTTCCTACCCCTTCAATAAATTCATGCCTGTTACTATGAGTGGTGACACTGTCTGAAATCTTTGTCTTGATCACAAGTATTGGGTTGGGGGCGGGGATGGGGGACCATTGCTGGGCTTCAGTTTAGCAGGAGGCCCCAGCTCTGTGACACTGTGAAGCAGATCCTGAGGCCTTGGATTAATACTTTTGCACTTTTTAATCTAGTCTCTCCTTCCCATCTCTTTGGTGTTAGTTTGTTTGTTTGTTTTTCTTTATAGGCATTTTGTACAACTTTATCCTCAAACTTTTCTATTGATTTTTATTTTCACCAGTTGAATTATACTTTATATAAAATTTTAATTGATTTAACTAGTTTAACTAAGTATTTGCATATATGTGATTCCAGGAGCCCCTTAGGATTCTCTTCCATATGGCCCCTTAGATGTTCTCTACTGCTCCAAGGACTGTTTCTTTCATACCTATCCTTTTTTCTCTCCCCCAATTTGATCTCCCTCATTTGGAAGTGAATCTTAAATATCTTCCTGCTTGAAAATCATCTTAAAGACTTAATATAGATTACAACACTCCATCCCCAAGTTGCTGATTCTGAAAGTCAAGGGTGGGACCCAGAAACCTGCATATAGCTCAAGAGCCCAAGGGTCTGATGTTGCTGGTCAGGCACCAAACTCTGAGGATAACTGTGTGGGCAACTGTGGAGTGGGCACCGGGAGGAGCAGGAGTGACTCACGTGCTCAATCTTCAGGACCTACAGATGGGATCTCTGGCCATGCCTCTCCTCGGAAGAAGCCGAAGACCAGGGTTCTAATATCAGACTGAAGAGTTCAAGGCTTTGCGGACTGGGTTCAGGATGAACTGTTTGGATGCTTGTAATTTAAAATTCTTCAACATGTGCCACATCTTTGTACAAAATAATTGTGCTGATAAAATATAACATGTATAATAGCAGATCACCCTTAAAAGTTTCATAATTTGTGCCTATAAAATAGGCACATAGAAAAAAAATAGAGAATAAATTATCAAGAAATTTCCAGAAATAGCTTAGAACTTAGAAGTCACTCTGACTTTAGCTACTGTTATACAAAAGAATAAGCAAATTACATAATATACCCTGATTATTCTTTATCACCTATTGAAAGCTTCCTGGTGATGGATAAAAACTTTAAGACGTGAGTTGCATATTCCCATGTGACAATGACACTGAACAACCTGGAAACTATGTACCACCAGCAGTAAGAGGGCACCAGATACATTCTTCAAGACTGTCCACCTTATCAAAGATATTATCTAGTTTTCCCTCTTCCTTTGCTCCAATTCTCTTGCAAAGCCTGCCCTCTTAAAAATAAGACAAATAGCTCCTTCTAGTGGAAAATTTGGTCATTGCAACCTAAGTCGTAAATGGTTCTCAAATGCCCCACTTGGTAAAATCTGTCCAAAACTTGGCAAGCAAACGTGACAGAAGTTGGCTGCTACAATCCATGCTCAAGGGACATGAGGGATCAACATTTAAAGCCATTCCATCATGTTATCTCCATTCTTGTCTCACAAGTTAAATAGGCAGATGCAAAAACCCAGCTCAGTACTTTAAAGGGAAATATTTTTTTATTTTGAATTGTGCTTTTCAAATAAATTTGCAAAACATAGGCACAATATCTCAGCCTGCTCTTAGCTTCACTTTTATTTCTTATTCTTCCCTCTCTCCCTTCTCCTGCTTTTAAGAGCAATTCAGAGTTGAATTCTAAGTCAAAACTCTGTCATTCTTCGTATGGTCCAAAGAAGCCACCCCAGGGCAGCTGGAGTTCCCTGCCTTTGGTAATTGTTTCCATGAAATACTCCAAAATATGAACAGGACACTATGTGGAATAAAATAAAGAAGGACAGCTATTTCCTCCTGATTCCACCAGGAATCACTCCAAAAACACTGGTCTGATCCATCAGAACAAAAATTTACTGTTTTCCATGCCTTTCCACTTCCATAAAATAATATAAAGCATCTTATGACTCATTAAAAATAGCAAAGAAAAATTGAGTTTAAAGCAAAAGAGATTAAAGAATTCAGCTGAGAGCTCAGACCAGGGCACATGGTACCTCTGCACTTCTGTGGGTATGGAATGCAGAAGGGATTTACTGAATTAAATTAAAACCTATTGACAGGGAAAATGAGAATGTGGTTGCTTTTCCCCCTGCAGTACTGGGGATGGAACCCAGGGCACGGTCACTAGGCAAGTGCTCTACTGTGGACCTGTATCATAGCTTGGCTGCTTGCAATACACAGCAGTTACAAGGTATATCATGGTTATATCCCCGAAATAAAATGACCAAAAGCTGAAAAAATTGCATGTATTTGCCGAAGATAACAATCAAGAGGTAGTTAATATATTAAAGAAGTCAGTTAACAATGAACATATATTCAAGAAACATTTCAGTGTTAGAGAATATTTACTTCCTGAAAATGAGTGTAACAACAGGCTTTCTGTCTTAAAAAAGCTTAGTTCCTGCAGTATGGAAAAATATAGTTTTAAAAAATGAACCCTAGTGCAAGCTCTACAGAAAAGCCCTGCTAATATTTAGTGTATATTCTTCCAAATTTTATTCCTATGAAATAAGAAGCCTCGTTGTCAGTGTTATTGTCACTTGGGGAACGGAAACTCAGTTCTCAGATTTTTACTCATCATCAGGATTTCAATAGTTGATAAAGAATAATCAGAATCATATGCACATAATACCTTAGACAATAGTATTATGCATATGAGCAGATTCATGGAGAAACTTGGCCAGAAAATGCACAACCCCTTTTTATAGAACAACTTAAAACAGGTTACTTTGAAGATATATCAGAAGGATATATCTGTAGAGACAATCCACCTTATGAGATAAACAGGTAGACAATCCACCCTATGAGATAAATATCGTTTAGAGACCTAAAGGATGACAATGATATAAATTCTGTCCATGTCACGGAAAGACAAAAGAGAATATTTATTTCTGAAAATGAGTGTAACAACAGGCTATCAAACTTTCCCCAATGGCAGCATTTCTCTAAAGTAATTATCATGACTTTGCTTACCCAGATTACGCATTTTGAGGGTCAGCGGAAGAGAGGGATAAGAAAACATACTACAAAGCTGCTTAGAGACCCACCCCAAACACCAAAACAGCAGAACAAAACAAGGCAGCCCAGTCCCCTGCTTCCCAGGTG